GAGTGTCTGACGCCGTGAGCCCCTTCTCCCAGCCCCCTGCAGTCACCTGCTGGACATGGCCGAGGACCACCCTGGCCTCTCCTGTGCTCCCCCACCAAGCTCTGCTGCCACCGACCCACGGCAGGGGCCACCCATGAACTGGGTGACGCTGGTGCCCCGAGACAGCCTGTGCCCGGGAGGATCCTGGGGTGCCACATGCCCTGTCTGGGGGGCCCAGGCAGCTGCAACCCCTCCTCACACCGCAGTCCACCTGTGTCCCCATGGTCCCCGCTCCCCTGCAGATACACACGCGTGTGCAGCTGTCCAAACACATGTGTGCACATGTGCGCACTGGGACACACGGAGCTGTGGGGACACGGGCTGGGGCTTCCACTGACCGACCACCCTCCCTGCCTGGGCCTCGGCCAGGCCGCCTGCCTGTCCCGTCCCGTGGGGCGGTGCCGCCCTCCAGTGGCCGGAGGGCAGAACCGCCGGACGCACTTTCCGAGGGGCCCGCGCTCCGTCAGCGCTGTCTGCACCGCGCGGGCCCCAGTGGCCCTTCTCCTCCTTCCGTCTGGGTACGAGGACACGGAGTGCCTCAGTGTCACCCCAAACCTGGGGCGTGCAGTGTCCCCTTGCCTGCTGACCCTGGAGCTCTCAGACCCCACTTTCATGCCCTGGGCGTGTGGGGACCTCCTGGCCCACCCCAGCTGCTCTTCGGCTGTGTCACTGTCCTGCCCACAGCGGTGGTGCGGGGACCGGGCCAGGAGGGCCTGGGTGGCCCCAGTGCAGCTTTGCTCTCGGCCACCAGCCCTGCCAGGCCCTCAGCGTCCCCTGCTCCCTCCACATCGAGGGCCACGTGGCTCCTTCTGTGATCTCCTGGACGTCCCGAGGCCACGTGCCCTTGGCAGTTCTGTCCCCGGCACTGGAGGACGTGACCTGGTCACCCCAACCAGTGACCACAGAGGACAGTGGGAGAAGTGCAGATGCCACTGTGCAGGCCACGGAGCCTTGTGATCGGTGTCCCTCGGGGGAGGGTGCAGGCCGGGCCTGACTGCAGTGGGAGGCTGAGGGCCGCAGTTAGCTGTTCCGAGGTTGTGCCGTGGAAGAACAGGTGTCTGCGCTGTTGCAACGTCAGCTGCCATGCTGGCCCAGGTGTCTTTACCTGTCGTCACCGATATCCGCCAACTATCAGGGGCACTTGCAGAAAACCCCTTGGCAGAGGCAACTGGCTTGCACGGCGGAAGCGATTGCCTCTGTTGGAACTAGGTCCCGGGGTCTTCCGTCCCCTCTGCCGTGGGGTCGGCCCAGGCACGGGCCCAGGACCTCTGCTGGACCATGGCCAAGAGCCCCTCGCCCTGGTCCTGGGCATCAGCCTGCAGCAGCCAACGGGGCCCCCCTGGACAGCGCGGACGTGGCTGCCCTGGATGTGAATGTCCTGACGGTGCACAGGGCCTGGCAGGTGAGGCCGGGCGATCAACCGAGGAGCAGAGCGTCCCTGGCCCCCACGGTCCATCCCTCTGAGAGACGTGCCTGATGGGCAAGCTGGACAGAGAAGGCTCAGGAGAGGTGAGCCCACCCCAGCGGTGTGAGCAGCTGTAGGCCGGGAGGGTGGTGCGCAGCCCAAGCTACGGGGCCTGGGGCGAGTCCCCTGGTCTGACGGGCACTCAGGGAGTGGCCAGAGGCCGTGCTGCCTTGGGACCGCTCTCTGTGCCCAGATTTGGTTCAGGCCAGATGTGGCCTGGGGGCCGTATGTCTCCCACCCTTGGTCGACCCAATCAGGAAGATCTCATCCCAAGCCACAGCGGCTGCCCAGGTAATCAAGGCTTCCGTTCCCCAGGACCATGGGTGGTTCCCTCCAATTTGGGGGGTGCGATGGCGTCCTCCTCCACCCCAAGACGCAAAGGAGGAAGCAAGGAGCCCTGGGGCCCCCGACCCCGCCCAGCGATCGTGAGGGGTGAAGGTGGTGTGGGAAGGCGGAGTGGAGGGAGCGCGAGTGGGAACACTCAGCAGAGAGCTGACGGGGCCCTCACTCTACAGAAAGTCGGGGGTCCAGACACTTCCCGCTACAACACGGGAGCCCAGCGGCCCCTCCAAGGACCGCTGTGGCCACAGGACCGACGGAGTCCTGCGGTCGCACGGCCTGGGCGTCCTCTGTGGTCTGGCGCAGAGGGGAAGAGCACGGCCTGGCGGGCTCTCTGGAGAGGAGGCAGAGGTCAGAGTTCAGCAAGGGCAAGGTTGCCGGAACTTGGGGGGCGCAGCGCCAGAGTGGGAGCGACACGGCGGAAGAGCTCCTGCCCGCTGTTTGTGGGAAAGACTCCCCGAGGGCCTGGCTCAACGCCAGTTTGGACGAGTGGGATGAAACCCAGGCCAGCGAGGGGTCAGGAGCCCGTGTACACCAGAGTCCACGGACACGCCAGTCCGATGTAAAGGTGCAGTATTTGCGTATAACCTGCACAATTCTCCACACACCTCAGATCGCCGCTAGAGAGCGCATGACACCCAGCACAGTGTAAATGTTGCGTAAATAGTCACTACATTGTATTTTTTGTTTTTTATTGTTTTGGTTTTTTTCCCAAATGTCTTCAATATGAAGTTGGTTTTGTCCCCAGACGCACAGCCTGCGGACGGGGTGGCCGGTGCGGCAGGAAGCAGAGGCACCCACCGCACCTGCGCAGGGAGGGCCCCCGAGGCCCTGCCAGCCAGAGCGGAGGGACGGCGGGAACAGAGAACAAGCAGGGACACCCAGAGGGGAGTGGGCTGCACTAGCCCTGGAGGGCACGCCGTGCCAGACCCCCAACAGAAAACGAGCCTCAGATCCACACGTGACCACATGGCCTGCTGGAATTAAGCCGCACGCCCTGGAGGGAAGGTGCGCTCCAGCTCTCGGCAACATACAGCGCGCACGCCGTCCAGCGAGACATCACTAGGTACGTGAAGTAGCAAGTTTGACCTATAAACCGGAAGGAAAATCAAGCAACAGAAACAACCAGAAACGATGAGATGAAATTAGAATACAAGGGTTTGCAGAAACGCTTATCATGCTCAGGGATGGAAAGGAAACATGAACCTAACGAGCAAAAGGAAGAACTTCCGAGGTGGAAAGGAAAGGAAGCTCGTGGACGTCTCACTGGGTGGAGCCGACAGCCCACGTGCACCGCAGGGAAAGCCCAGCAGACGCCGCGGCAGGAACGTCAAGTGTCCTCACCGCAGCGAGGACGGGACTGGACGTGAACGGCAGAGCTCCGACGACCGTGTGACGGTGCCAAGCGGCGTGAGGCACCGATCGCCAGACCCAGCAGGATGGGGAAGGGGACAGGCGAGTGCCGGACAAGTCCTGGGCAAGTGTCTCCCAAGTTGATGGAACTCACGAACCTACAGGCTCAGGAAGCCCCACGGACTCCGAGCACCTTGAACACACACAGACACACATGCTCGGTCCGAGCCAGCGGACTCCAGCACGCCCGCGTGGCCGCGGAGGACACCCGACACGGCAGGTTCCCCACTTGTCTGTTCATTGATTGACTTTACGTGATAAGCAAATCAAACAGCACGACTCCGAAGACCTGAGCTGTTTTCTGACCCGGCAGCTCCTCTGAGCACAGGGTGGGCTCCACCTGCCCGGCCTGCCGGCGAGTGGTGGCAGAGCTGGGTCACCTCACCACGCTCGCCCTCCACCCCGCAGGGACCTTCGTCACGTGCTCTCCGCGGTTACTGCCCCACGCCCTCCCGCCTCCCACGGGGCATCTGCACTCACCCTCCGATCAGCGGCGCCCTGCTCACCACGCTCGGCTGCCCAATGCGCCGAAACGTCTCTCAAGCACCGTCTTCCCTGCGGATCCAAACTCACTCCTGGAGGTGGGGTGAGGGTCGTGCGAAAGACACTTTTCACGGGCTGCGCGCGGCTGTGCCCCCCAGCAACGCCCACGTGGGTCTCCCGGCCACAGAGCCAGGCTGTTCCCCAGCGGGAGTGGCGCCCGGTTCTGGACCTGGAGTGAAGGCCCAGTGGACGGCACAAAGCACAGAACAGGCTGGAAGTACTCGTGTGAATACTTTTTAATAAAATTCAAGACAGTTGGGAGAGATACTTGGAATCGAGAGAAAATTCCTTAAAAAATTGAATATTTAAAAAGTTCTATAACAAGAGATAACCCATTTTTCAAGAAGTAGACTTCATGTACAAAGCACTAACACGAAATTTATTCCTGCATGAGACCACACCTTAATATTCTGTGAACTATGTCAATTACAGACCCATTTATTTTACATTCTATCAATGTGCATCTTCCTTTGAGACGTGAATAACATCATTGAACAGACAAAACAACGGGCAGAAGTGTCTGAGAACACGCGTGCCGCGCTGGGTCGCCAGGGCCGTCAGCGCACGTCACCCTCGGACGTCGCGGGTCTGCGCTCTCCCCGCACACTGGGCCCTACCTGGTTATTTGTCATAGGAGAACACTTAGCCTAGAATTTTTCTCTCGGTTTCTGTAATATAGGAATGGGGTTTTCTTACCCATTAAATGGCCTCCAAAACACTCTGCATCAAATCAAACCAGCTGACGCCAGAAAGCGCCCGCTGCCCTCCGCGGCGAGTGACGCGTGCTCTTTCACGCCATGGTTATTGCTTATTTACGCTGACAGCTTCTCCTTTGTTTCTAGGACACCTATATTAATGTTCCTTTTTTTAAAAACAAAATTTGTTATCATTGTGTCCAACTGGGGGAGGGATGGGCATGAACACGCTTAGGTAGTTCTTTACAAAGAGACAAACAAAATCTGAATTATCCTTCAGAAACAGTAAAAGTGACATCTTCCTTATAATTTGTCTTCTAATATGCATTTTAAAATAACGTAAATATAATACACTCCTCTTAACAAAGCTTGGCCTCCTGGGCTCTGGCACGCGGATCTGAGCAACGTTTTGCAGAGGGCCCTCCCGGGCGGCACTGCTGCGGGGAAGGTGGTGCCCCTCGCTAGCCGTAGGTCTCCTGTCGAAAACCACGACTGGAAGCCCAGGGTCAGACGCAGGCCGACAGCTTCTGTCTCTCTTCAAACTGCTTGTCCACTGCCAGGGACAGGGCCTGGAGGAACCCCTCTATGGTGACGGTGGGGGCCTGGGGGGACACACGGGCATCACTGGGGCCCCCATCCTTGGGGACAGCTGGCAGCAACACCCCAGCATGGCGCAGATGGTGTGGCAGAGTCAGCTGCGCAGCTGGGCAGTGAGCGCGGTGCCACACACCCAGGGCGCTGCTCAGGCCCACAGCAGGACACGCAGACGCCACGCACTCCTTACTGCAGGAAAGGCACACGAGGCGGGCTGCCTGACACTGTGTCCCGCAGGTGAGCACTGGAGCCAGCCGCCAACATGGCGAGAAGAGAAGCTGTTGGGAATAGACCCTGGAGCCCCCTCAAAGGGCCCGCCCTACGTCTGGGGCTCTGCGGTCCCCAGGACACCTGGCTGCTAACCAGAGAAGCACCGTGGCCCAGCGCCGAGCTGCCACCTCCCTGCAGCTGAAGGCTCCCGCCCACAGCTGTGGCACCTGGTCAGCTGTGGCACCTGGGCGCTGAGTGCCACGTCCAGCAGAGGCTGCAACTGACCAAAGCACAGGTGGACTCTGAACTGAAAGGAACCATTTCAAGACGCGTGTTTCCCCATCCCAACATCAGTGTGTCTGCCCTGCGGACTCTGCGCTGCCGACACTCAGAGCCTCACCTGACCAGGGTGGTGGGGCAGGGGGGGGAGAGGGGGCCTCCTGGGCTGGCGGGTCTGTGGTGGGGCCTGGCGTGTCTGTGGTGGGGCCTGGCGTGGCGGCGAGAGGTGTGGTGCCAGGTCGCTGCTGGCTGAGCTCAAACCCAAAGGGCATGAGCCTTTGGCAGCGGCCAGGGAGGGCCTGGGACAGGAGCTGTCACACACCACGGAGGCAGACGTGGGCGTGTTTGCCAGCGGGTGGGCAGGGACACGCAGCACAGCCACCGCCTTGGCCCTACTGCTCAGGGGTTCCTGTCAGCTCCTTCCGCTGCCCAGAACCATCGCCTGACGGACAGGGTCAAACAGGCAGCCGCCCCAGTGGTACCAGGTGGGACTCCCAGTGGGCGGAGACCTGTGGACGGTGGGTGGCGGATGCGCAAGGACTCACCTGGACGTACAGTGCGTGAGCCAGGAAGGGCAGCTTCCTCAGGACCCGGCCGCTGAGGCCCTCGCTCTTCCTGTGTGAAGACGACCAGTTCGCGTGTTAGTTTCAGACGGCCACGCGGCTCAGGACTAAGTTTCCTCCTCATCAGGAGCTCTGAGCCTGAAGGCTGGCAGAGGTGCCCCGAGAACACGAGCCCCTGAGCAACCACAGGCACAGCCTGGGCCTCGTAGGCGCCACCACCCCTCGCGGCCCCTGGGCCTTGTCCTCTCCGCGCGTCCCTTGGCCCTGCAGCCCCTGCAATGGGGCTTGTCCCCTCTGCCCTCAGCTCCTGCTCCGGGTGGGGCGTCCTCGCTGCCCCGCAGCACCACCGACGCCACCTGTGAGCCCGCTCTGTGGCTGCCGTCCCCGCGCGCAGGGGCTGTAGCGCCTGCCTGCGCACGCCAGGCGTGGGTGTGACGCGTGGAGTGCAGCGCGGTGGGCACGCGGTCAGCCAGCACAGGCTCCCCAGCCAGCCAGGCCGGTTCACGGCTTCGGTTATTGCAGAAGTCTCTGCACTGCTCTCCTCTGTCCCCATCTCAACCAGCCTAAATCTCCTCAACAAAAATCCCACACCTTTCCTCTGAGCTTCAGAATAAATTTGAAACTGTCCAGAAATCCGTGGCCCTCCCCACTACGTTCCCTCCGCGTCCTGCACCAGCCGGTCTCTGCGCTGTCATCAGTCTGCGTGTGGCCCGGGTGCGTTGCCCCTGCACCCTCCTGATTTTGCTCCAGGTGCTCCCAAACTCCACCTTCAAGGCTCTGCTCCGTCCCACCCTCCCTCCGGCATAGGAGCCACTCCCGCTGCCGACTCTGAGGACGGCAGGCCTCCGGCACGTGTGCCAGCGTGCTCACACACACACCCAGACGCACACGCACACACGCACGTCAGCTCCATGGGGTGCTGAGAGCTCACACCCAGAGCCCTCCCTGGGACGGCCCGGTGACTACGGCACAAACATGCGTCAGTCTGCACCTGGAGATGTCACTCAGGAGGAGGCTCAGCTTTGACACGTTGTTCTCGATGAAGCCGATCATCTCCAGCTCGCGGAGGGTCAGCAGCTGCTGGCGAGGGTATATGATCTGGCACTGGGGAGACAGGCGCCGCAGTCACGAGGGTGCAGCGCGGAGCACGAGCACAGTCAGCAAGGGGACCCCTGCGGGCCCGAGCGGACCGTGTCACGTCTGACGGAGACTGGGACCTAACTAGCCCCTACGCACAGCCGCACAAGAGCAGCTCAGCCTCTCCCGGGATTTTGGCTGAAACGTCGCCTGACTGCACGTCGGGGCTGGAGGGGACCGAGAGGTACCAAACCAGCCTGTTACTGCGTCAAAACACAGGTGGGCAGAGCTGAGACTCAGAGCCAGGACTTAGCCCGACTTTCAGAGAAGACCTTGGTCTGTCCGTGTTTAAGACGAGGCTGGTTGAGCAGCGTGACACAGCGTGTGACTGACCAGGAACGGGCACCGCGAGTTCACCTGCAGATGAGCCGTCTGAAGTCAGACACTCCTGCCAGTGGCCTCGCTGAACTGTCACGTCAGATGGGCACCGCGACCATCACTGTGACTGAATTCTAACAAGAACGGTCCTGACTGAGGAACCAGGAGGGAGGAGAAAGAAAATGGCATTCCTTGCACAGTTTGGAGGTCTGGTGAAGGCTGTGGGTAAAACTAAGAAACACGGGTTTTTGTTCAGTGTGTTCTGACCTTCCCTCCTGACTTGCTAAGTGACGCTCGGTGGGTTCCCTGGGGACCCTGCCCCCTGCAGCCTCCTGGGCCCTGTCCCTCTCCACCCCTCCAGCGAAACCCGACATCCAGAGGGCACACGTGAAAATGCCGACCGCAGGCTCCTGGCAGAGTGGGGTCCCAGTCACATGCGGACAGCTTTCGAAAGCACACACCCACTATGACACCTGAATGCCTTAATTTTACATCAACTGCCTCGGAGACTCCCCCTGCCCTGCACTCTCAGCTCCTGGAACAAGTCCACACCTCTGAGCTAAAACTTAGAATCTAAAACTCAGGTCCGCAGCACAAGTGCAGAGACGTCGCCCGCGAGGGCGGACGCCACGCCGGGGGCACGGGAGGGCCTCCCACACAGCGACTTTCTCTCCAACAGACACTTTCTCGCGGGATGTGCCGTCACCCACGGGCTCCCTGGCGGCGACACTGCGCTTGGATCTTCCTTCAGATCCTGCCTCGCGAGTCGAACCCCCCCAGAGCCCCGCTCCCTCCCACCCCACAGAACACCCACAGGCCTGGATGGCGCTGGCCCAGCGCCCACCTCTGCGGGTTCATGGCTGAGACCAGCTCTGCTGTCCCCAACCAGGAGAGGCCGTGTCACCCTTGTTGAGGACACTGAGGCCACTGCTCTGTGGTGTCAGGCAGTGGTGACAGGGCGGGTGGACAATTCACCCCCCGCTGGTGGCAATGACTCCAGGACAATAACCACCGTTTAAACCCCCGTTTGTCGGTTTGCTGGGCTACTAACCAGGGCCCCTAAACTCAAGGCTCTACGTCTGCTCCCGCCGGGCGCGTGCGCTCTGGCCTGCTACTCGCCCGCTTCCACAGCACCTGAGGCGCAGGCACAGGTGCGTCTCGGCTGCGCTCCCTGACACAGCGCTCACCGCCGCCGCCAGAACACGTGAAGCAGAGACATGAGCGCTTCAGTCAGATGACAGCCCCACGAAGCCCTGCAGGCGGCGTGATCCCGAGAGCTGGGTCGGCTTGTTCTTGCTCTTGCCGGCGAGGACGCCGGCCCAGAGAGGCAGGCCACCTGCCCGACTCAGCAACGTCCTACACATCAGCACCTCAAGTAACCAAGAATGATGCCCGCGTGGTGCCAAAAGAGCAAAAGTACTGAATCGGTGGCTGTAATTTGGACTATTAGCTCAACCTGTCAAGTACGACAAAGTTGCAACGTCAGTTTAAAAAGATGACTGGTGCTTATGTGGAAATACCTTATTCTATGCCAGGGCTAGCTCAGTCTAAGCCACCTCAGCTAGTCAAGAACAGAAGAAATCTGACCTTCATCAGCTCTTCCAAACACGAGAGGTAGATTTTGAAGATGGCAGCCACGGAGGGCGGCCCGATGTACTGCTTGATGTCGGCCCTGTCCACGAAAGCCACGTCGATCTTCTCAGTGATGTTGGACGTTGTCAGAATCACGACGTTGGAATGCCTGTGGTGGCCGCAAAGCAAGGACCGTGGTCACGTGTGTCCATGGCTCAATTATATCCCACTGTACCTGGGCAGGGGCAGGCAGGGGGGTCGGCAGCCAGGCCTGCTCGCAGGACATAAAGGGTCACCCAGCACCGCCCAGCCCACTGTGCCCCACACCAGAGCCATGGCCCAGCACAGGCCTGCAGGCCTTGCCAAGGTCTGGAGACCCCCAAACCTCTGCCCATCCCCCGGACTCTCCTGGCAGCAACAGGATGTGAACGGACCCTCCCAGGCCCTTGCCCCAGCTATTCCACTGATTTCCAGAAAGCTCTCCCAGATCTCCACTCGACTCCTTCAGCCTTACAGAAGATCTCACTTTTGTGCAGGGTCTCTGACCGGGCGCCCAGTCTCCCACGGCTCTGGCACCCACCGCTAGCCCTGCCTGGGCACGGCCACGAGACTGTCTACCCCATAGCTCTCATCGCCCCAGACACACCTGGAGCTGAGTTATTGACACTCGTCATCTGTTCTCCCCTCCAGCTTCTAGACCCCACACAGAGCCACCACTGTCCATCTGCTGGGCAGTGTCCCAGGGCCCAGCACGGCAAGCACAGGTGCTCCTGGGAGCACGTTTGGGGGGCTGTGCAGTGGGCCCGGCAGTGCTGCCCTCCTGGGCCCAGGGGGAGCAGGCCGCTCTGTGGCCGGGGGCAGGGAACCTTGCAGGTACCACTCCACCTTGATGTTGGCGAGGGTGGACAGCCCCTCTGCAAGAATGAGGACAGGGAGCATGGGGGTCCCTCGCAGAAGGAACAGGGTACAGAGGTCGGGTGAGCACACAGGCCGCTCACCCTGGTACCCAGAGGGTGGGGCTGGGGGGCAGAGGCGCTGCCTGTGGGGAAGGCGAGGAGGAGCGGCAGCCAAATCCAGGGGCGAGTGGTGGACAGCCCGGGCCAGAGCGCCCTGCGCCCAGGGCGCCAGAGCGCCCTGCGCCCAGGGCTCCAGCGCAGTCAAACCCAGGGACAGAGGCGAGAGAAACCAGGCAGCTGTGGCTACTACTCTTTTCTGGGCCCTCACAGCCTTGTGACTGGTGGGGAGGAGAGCTCAAGGTGGCCCCCATTTCTGGCTTGGGGGTACGTGGTGGGGCCCCCAGTGGAACGGGGAACCCCGGGAAGTGGGGAGTGTGTCTGACGCTGGGGGAAAGGGTGCGCATATCCCAGGCACATGGCACCGAGAGAAGGCCACACACAGGCCACGCAGGCCCCCACCCGGGGCAGAGAGGGGATGCCGGCAGCAGAAGCTGAGGAGGAGGAAAGTGAGTGTTCTGTGGACGAGGGCTGTGGCAGGAGCACACGCCAGACCAGGAGGGACCTCCGCTGCTCTGAGGCCTGCCCGCAGGGTGGCAAGGAAGCACAGGGCGGGCAGGGCCCGAGCCCTCCTGCAGCTGGCCCAGGAGACGGCCACGTCTCAGGAAACAGCATCTGCACCAGGAAGCACCAGCGAGGGCACGGCTGACCGTTCCCTGCACAGCTCGTCTGCTGCCGGCCACACCCGCAAGCCAGCACTGGGCAACGCACTGGCCCCGTCACCCGGAAGGCAGGAAGGGTACTTTAGAGAAGAAATGTAAGCACCAGGTTGGTGGCGGGTGCTTCTAGAGCGCCACGTGACAGCAGACAGGGACCAGTTTGTATCTTACTTCTGCCTGCGCTGGGTTAGCAGACGTCACTCCCTAGAGCTTGGTGACAGGCCCTGAACCTTCACGGTTAGACTGTGGACACGTGTCCAGGCCATGAGGCACTCTACCTGGGGCCAGCAGGCGAGTGGTGGGGCTGGGTGTTGGCGCTGACGCCTGGACGTAGCAGTGTGTTATTCTATTTCATGCTTTTCTGTGATGTGTAAAATTTTACCATGCCCAAGTTCTGTTTTACATTTTTAATACTTTTTTTTTGAGATAAAGTCTCGCTCTGTTACCCAAGCTGGAGTGCAGTGGTGTCATCACAGCTCACTGCAGCCTCAAACTCCTGGGCTAAAGAGATCCTCCTGCCTCAGCCTCCCAAGTAGCTGGGACTACAGGTGTGTGTCATTGTGTCTGGCCCATTTTTAATACTTTAGTGAATTAAAAAACACTTAACTTTCAAAAAATCCATTTACTACCTGCCGCCTCCCACGCAGACAGACAGAGCCGACACTCGATGTCAAATGCACTTTCAGTTAAAGGAGCTGGGTGGGGAGGCCTGGAGTTACCCAACAGCCCACCATCCCTTGGGAACAAACTTCTCCATTGTTCCTGATTTAACACGTCAAGTCACCGCGTGCCAGAGCGTTACCTTTTAATCTGATCAATCTGGGTAAGGACAGCGTTGACCACGCGGATGGCATCTGATGGCTCGGCTCCCGCCCTGCAGGCATTGCGGGAGGCTGTGAGACTCTCCACCTGCAGGGACAGGGACAGAGCAATGGGTCAAAAGGGATGGCGCCTGGCACTTCGTGGGCAGCCGCAGGGACAAGTCCACTGAGCGAGTGAGCGAGCGAGCGCGTGAAGGGCGCACACACGCTTGGCCCGAGGGCGCAGGGAAGGCCTCGGACGTGCCAGAGCGTGGCCCGCAGAGCAGGGGAAGGCCAGAGAGTGGCAGAAGTAGGCCACGTCCCGCAACACCAGAGGCAACTCAGTCTTGAATTTCCTTCAGCCATGGGTTTAGTATCTGAAAATGCCCACCTCGTCAATCAGCACAAACACCAGGGCGTCTTTATCATCAATCAAATCCTGGATCTTCTGGAACATCTTGGTCACCAGCTTGCCACTCTGGAACCAAAACACTCTCAGCATCCACTGCAGTGAGCTCGCCGCAGGTGCACACAGGCCCACCGGGGCAGCCGCCCCCAGCAGCCCGTCTCCCAACGGCCCCTCAGAAAACATCCTGGGTCCGAGAGCAGCCAGGTCAGCACGGGAGGTCAACCTAAGTGCTCCCTCCCTGCGGAGATCGGCGGCGCCTGCTCTTCCCAGGGTAGCAGAGCGTGGGAGACTGTGCCTCTGCTGACCCGTCTGCCCTCGCTGCCTGGGACGAGACGCGTCACAGGAGCAAGCGTGCACGCTGGCTGCGGTGCACTCCTGGCCTCCAGTGTGCCGCATCCTGCCTCACCTCACTGGAAGACATGCCAACACCTGTGTCTGGGCACAGCCCTTGGAGGGAGGGGACACGGCCTTGTCTGGCCCCTCAGTTCACAGGGACACGCGAGCACACAGGCACCGATGGCGTGCTCAGCAGGGCCGGTCCATGCAAGGAGGCCGGGTCTGCACCCTGAGGCCCAGCGGACATCCTCTGACACCCGTCAGAGGTCTGGGACAGACCAAGGGAGTCCTGCAGGCCTTAGCTCTGGAACCCTTCTCTGACCACAGTCAGCCCGTCCTTCCCTTCCCCATTTTGCCTATTTCCCTCTCGGAGAGGAGTGTTTGCCTAACGTACAGGATGCGTATTTTCAGCTACACGGTTGACAATGCAGACGGTCGGAGCATTTAATACTTACTTCTGAAAACCACTTGGAAAAGAGGCTGTGGCTGTTTATTTCTATTAGTTGGCCATACCGGTACCTAAGATGGTAAAAGGGGTTAAGAAATTACTAAGCAGTCCTGTTGCGTCCTCGGTGGCAGCCACTCCTGCTTCCTTGGTGTGACACCTCCCAGCTGCCCAGCATGCTGGTGGTGACTGACTCGTCAGGTCATTACCATCACTGACAAGGAATCAAGGCACTGAGGCCTGTGTGCTAAATAATTATGAAAAACTAAACACAATGCAATCAGTAGTTCTGGACTGTACCAAATTAATTTTTCCATAGCCTTATTTGAGTTAAAAAGTAAAGCCCTCTCATTTTTAAGCTGCTTATAACTTATATTCCTATGTTTAAAAAGTAGTACCAGTACCAAGAAAACAAACAAAACAAAAGAAAAGCATCAAGAGTTTTAGGCAGGAGCCAAACATTCTTTCCTCTTTCCATGAAACCCCAAATTAGGGCACTGTGATTCGTTTTCCAGCGCAGACCTTGGAGCCCTGGAACAGTCAGCAGCCAGAAGTCAACTCTGACACCCCCCGCGGGACTGAAATCCAGCAGCACGGACAGAGCTGGGCGCACGCAGCGCGAGACCAAATCAAACAGGAAACGCGGCTGAGGCGAGAGAGGAGCCGACTCCCAGGTCCTCTTTTCAGTTTCTTCTGTGTCAAAAGTCCACGGAAGCAAAACAAGTACTTTCAGAAGGTATCGCTGGCCTCCCATTTAAATAAAGAGAAAAAGACCGTTACTGTTTACAGAAGAGGGAGGGGGACAAGCCAGCGAAACAAACTAGGCTGAATATTAAACAAAATAAATTGTAAAACACCGGCTACTTAACAGAACGAGAAAGAAAGGCTTGCTAAGGATTCTCTATACCATTTCTAAGCCACGAAACGTATTTCCAGATCTTTGTACTGGAAAATGTTATTATATTTCCAGTGTTTCAGGAAACTGATCTTAGAGATCTTTCAAATACAGACGTATTTCGATGTCAAAACAGACGCATTTCGATGTCAAAACAGACGCCAAGTTTCTGAACAGAACATGAAGGGTTGAAATAAAGCAATTTTCCTACGAAAATTATTTACATTTTGAAAGGAAACAAAATAGATACACGAAACTAAATCTCATAGGATTCCCTCTAGTACTGAAGTAACAGGTACCAGATTTATTTTCTGCCTTAAATGATGAGAAAACTAGACAAAATAAATGAAACAACATCCGGTAAGAGTGTTGGACAACAGACGGTGAAGGATTGTGACCCCAAGAGAAGGGAAACGGTGAACCCTACAACTGCCCGGCGTTCTGCCTCCCACCACTCCCACCACAGCCCTGGGAGGGAACCCACGCAGGGCACAGCCCCCGGTGCAGGACACAGAGGGCAGAGCTCAGGGAGTCGGGGCGGCTGCAGGCTGCAGAGCAGAATTCTAGGGGAGGAGGAGACAGCCCGGAAGGCGCGCACTGAGGTACGTACAAGCAGGGAAATTCCACGAGGCCAGTAAAGAGGGGCTGCAGATGTGTGAGCCGAAGGGCTCCCGGAGCACACACAGGTCGGGTGAGGTTCAAGCCACAGCCGCCAAGTGGACAGCACTCACTGATCATTCTGCACACAGGACACCCCAGAAGGACCACACTCCAGTATTAAGACAAAACTAACCTAAACCCCTCCCTAACATAGCTTAAAAACAAAGCTCAAAAGGATCACCCCAATCGCAAATAACTGAAATGCCTGTCAGAACAAAATTCAAGTCATCAAAGCAAGACAAGAAAATCCAGACACTTCAAATCACAACGTTCAGGATTAAATCAAAACGACCTGACATGCCCAAAAGCAAAAACCTGTGACCCACAACCAAAGAGAAACCAGTCCAGAGACAGACTCGGAAATGATGAGGATGGAATCCGCAGACACGAACGTTAAAACAGCTATCATAAACGTGTTCAAGGTTTTAACAGGAACACAGCGAGAGAAAGGAAAGCATACAAAGAATCAAACAGAACCTTCAGAGAAGAAAAATACTG